CAGCGGCCGTGCGGGAGGGACGCGGCACCGGGTGAGAAAAGTAAAGAGCTGGAGGTAATCTGTGTTCAACTCCTGTAGGTCCCCCAGGGAGAAACCAAAGCCCAGCCCAGCCCAGCAGCTCCTGCGCTGGGAAGGTTTCTAAGGTGTCGCTGCGGGTCCCAGCAGCCCCAACGGCTGCACAGCTCCGCTCTGGCAGCCCTCAGGCATTCAGAAAGCATTTTTAGACCAGGGGTTAAGCAAAAGATACCAGAAAGGCACCTACAAACCACGGTCTGCAAGCTAAACCATAGCATGAAAACACATTTTGCTATATTACAGATTCTTTTGAGGCAGAACTCTCAGCGCAGACTCTCCAATACCCAGTGGAACCTGCAGCATTTAAGAAGATCTAGATCAGTATTTCTAATGCTTTTTCAGTTGCAACCCGCTCTCAAAGGCAGAAATCTCTCACAGCTTAGCACACTCCAAACTTGCTCTTGCCACAGCCTGCTCAGGTGCACAGAATGGAAAATATCACAGTATCCAGAGGGCAGGCTGGAAGGAAACCCTGTGATAAGCTGCTGGTGCGCACCCCTCCTGCTTTTCTGCTGTTTAATTACTCTACTGACAAGTTTTTTGGTTTAGGACCAAACCACCCACCATTCTTGCCTGCTGTTGTTGGCTCGTGTGGAGCACTGGGTCATTTTGCTGTTTGGTTTCATCATCTGGCTGCAGCCTTTCTAATTTTGCTGTTGTTGGCAGATGACAGCATGATTGCATTTATACCAGAGATGCAAAGCACCTGTGCTAGTGAAGGCAGAAGCTTTTCATTTAACTTTAATACCTTTCTCTTTATACAAAATACCCTCTCTGGATGTGGGGAAGAAAAATCCAGGTCTGGGCTGCAAGCAATGCAAAGCCTTCCTGCTTAGAGATGATGGCTCACTGATTGCATGCTACAGACACGAAGGCTAAAGATTAAGTACTGTTGTGTATCTCAAGTCCATCCTGGGAAACTAGATGTGAAATAAAGAGACAGTATTGTATAGCGCACTCTGCATGGAAAGCCACTTGATGTGTTCATGTATGACTCGGGCAATGAGATGATTTAATGCACTAGCCTGGAAATGTGAACAACTTGTCTCTGAAGCAAATGCTGCTGTTTAACTGCACCCAGAAACTACGTTCAGGTGTGCTTGAGAAAGTGATGAATGTCGTCCCAAGTTGAAATTACAGAGGAAAGTTAGGCGTAGCGTACATAATTAGACCACATTGCAGATGTGAAAACTGCAATTACATCTCTCGAATGATCACAGGGGCTCAGCTACCACTGTCGTAAGAGTGTAAAACAAAACCTGGAAAAGAATGTGCACTTCCAAGCAGCTAGCTGAGTTTATATTCTGGAGCCGGGGTGTCTTTATAGAAGGCTAGGGCCACCCCTAAGTTCAGCCAGCTGAGAACAACTCTGGAGAAACCACTCACCTTCTACAAAGGAAAAAAAGCATGTATTGCTGTCCGAGTTACAAGCTTTCCTTGCTCAGCACGCAGCTTGCTCTCGGCACATGCAGGTGCGTATGGTGAGAAGAGGGCGGCACACGCTCTGTGTGTGTGTAGGACTGTGCTTCCTCTTAAACCTGTCTCTCTCCTCCCTTTATGCCTTTTAAACTATTTATATGGCATCCCTGTAGTCTCTGTGTCTGTCTCTATCACCTCCTTACGGATGTAGATACAGATCACAGAGAGCCAGCGGTTATGCGAGCCTCTGGAATAAATATTACCCACCCAGAGCTGTGCGGCAGCTTGCTTCAGGTTTACCCAGGAACTCGGAGTCAGCTTGAAACAGAAAGCGTATCTGAGACCTGCTTGTAGGACTGAAATCTGCAAACACTCTGCCTCTCTCCCACCATGTGTATGGGTGTACTAGATTCCATTGTACATGACAGAAGAAATATTTTTTCCACTTAAAAATAAACACGAACATTCTCTAAGAAACAGATTAATTCTACCTCATTAAAATAATGTAAAAAAAAAAAAAGCCCACCGAAGTATCTTTACTGTGGCTTGGAGCTATTTAAATATTTATACTCAGTTTTTATGTTCCATTAACAAACTGAGTTTCACTTTACATGCAAAAATTGGGATATACATTTGAGCTTAATTAGCAAGCAACACAGAAAGGAAACCAACATGTAAGAACAGAAACCAGGCTCTGAGCCAGCTTGGTGAGCCTGCAGACCACTATTCAACACAGAAATCTTTGATTTGGAGTTACCGGTTACACATTTGAATGATGTGGCAAGCACAGGCATGGGCAAGCAGATGTAACAAAAATCTCAGACCCACTGGAAATGGCTGTTGGTGACATTCCGATTGCAAAATATTCCAGACACCGGGCAGAACATCTGAGTTTGTTAGGACCATTTTAATTTAGCCATTACTATTTATGTGATACTCCTCCATTTGGTAACTTTATTATATGTATGCTTTACACCTGATTAATTTAATACAACCAAGGTTTAAATGCCGCATGCCTGGATTCCCAGCCTGAAGCACACAGCCCACATGCAGGGCTGCCCCAAACCTCGTAAGGCTGCCCCTGCCCTCCTCACGTCTGTGCCCACCATGCGACTCTCCCTGGCAATGTCCATAGTGAGTAAGAAGAGGCAACCAATCATTTTATTAATCCTCAACTAGCAAACGAGTACTCCTGATCATTTAAAATGATTTTCGGATTCTACCATAAAATCTTAAACCACGTGTAAACATTTTTGCAAAAAAAATCTTCAGTAAAAAAATGTTGTGGCTTTAACTGCAATGGCATTTTTTCCCCCTAGAGATTTAACAAATTGTTAAATATTCTCCTGAGTTTCGTGCCCCACTGTAGTCTCTAGAGGTTACAGACTGAACAAAACCCTCTTCTGCAAAAGCAGCATAACGGAGACCTGCCACAGAAGCGAAGCGGACGGTGGAACCCCAGGCAGAATCGCATTCCCCCCAGGAGGAGAAGTCAGAGCTCTGCTGCCAGAGGCTGGGGTCGACTCAGTCCCCCCCCTCAGGCTGACGAGACTGTGCGTTTAAAGAAAGCATCTCACTTCAGGAAGCACAACAGATGAAGTCCATCTAATAGGCCAGCCCAGTTCCTGCATTTATTATCTTAATATTCACGTAATGAGCTGGGAGCAGTTGCGGTTTTAGCAGCACCTTCCCAGGCATCGCTGCACTTGTTAGCAAGCTCTTTCCCCAGCATTATTCTCCTGTCCAAAACCATTCAGTTGGAGGGATGAGATGCTACTGGTAGTGTCTACGCCCTGGTTTCAGGCAGAAAACACCGGCACAGTTCTGCCAGCACAACTAAGTCTCGATGGGCAGCACCCTCGCATGCTGTATTCCAGCTATCGGCCTGTCCATCGGGCAGTCAGTCTGCAGTGCGATCCCAGGGGACACAGCTCACGTCCTCTGGTGCTCCAAACAAAACGTGACAGAAATTTACAGGCAGATGCAAAAGGTCACTGTGGTGACACCGACCAACCTGCTTTGCACACGAGGAGACAGGATTTCATCGCTGTTTGTTTGGCCTCCCTACGGCACAAACCCATTGCCTATACTGGGAGGGTTAAGAGAAGGGGGGTGGGATAAGGATTTCAGTTGTCCTTGAGGGATAAAGAACATACAGGGAGTAAAATGTGAAATGGAAAGGGAAAGGAATTAATGGATTAATAGGCAGTGTGATAAAAAAAGAAAGATGGAAGTGTGAAATGAGAATAAGAAAAAGTAAGAAAACGCCCGGTAAGAAGTTTAAACCAGAACAGTCATAAGAAGAGCAGAACTGAATGAACAAATCCAACTTTAAAGTCAGGAAAACCAAATGCATTTATTTCTTTTCAATTGTCCAAGTTTTTGCAGTCCACATGTTGCCTAAATGCTGAACAGATGTGCTTGCAGAGAGGGAAGTGCCTAAGTGATCGATGAGCACAAATCACCCCGAAAGCTACTGAGTGTGAAAGGGGATGTCTTGTGCTCCTAAATCCCCCAACTGCCTGCATCAATCCCTCCCGCACTGATCTATCTGTCAAAGTGTCTGCACTGCAATTTACTTCAACTGCAGATCCAAGAATGAGCACCAAGTTGTACTCAGTGTTACCCAGAAACAGAATCCAACTGATTCCAGTAAGGGACGTTATAGTGGGAGAGGCTGTCTCATAATTCCCTGGAAAATTCCGTAAGTAACAGCTGAAAACCAAAAGGAAATCTATGTCAAAGACTATTGATATGATTAAGCCATAATGCCTTCAGATGAATTTTCTGGATCGATAGCTAATTTTAGAGACTCATCTCTTTCAAATGCATAAGTACATAATGAAGGCAGAAACGGAAAGAGCATAACTTAGCTCTTTGCCAGCTACAAGATGCAAACAGCCCTCCTGCACGCTGATTAGGCAAGATGTATGTCACAAACAAGTTCTTTCTGATCGCAACAACGAGGAAAAATAAACTTACCTTCTGTCACCCCGATATCTATAGTTCCTTTCACTTGACTAAAGCACCACAGCACATCCTGCATGAGGTCTCCAAATCCTGCCAGGGAAAGACACGCAGAAAGAAGGTAGGATTGCAATCACATTTGTATATAGCTCGTCCTTTTTTAAACAAACACACACATGCACATACAAATTGGCACACAAATATCTGCAATCCCTGCACGGAGATAAATATTTGCTCACCTGGTATCATTCTTCCATACGAAGTGCCAAGCTAACACTGCAAAACTGAAAACATGATGCCCGGGTTATGAATTGCCCGTCTGTTTGTTTGCTCCGTACCATGGTAGGGCTATGTCGAAAACGGTGCAATTGGAGTCAGTCCCCTCTACATCACTGGCAGCATCACAGCAGAGTCAGGAGGCCCTGTGTAGTCATGGTCTTTGTCACAGCCTCTCTCCATCAGAATACTAATGTCCCCAGTCATTTCCAGTGCTGGTAAAGAGAAACAGAGAAAAAGAGAACTACTCTTACTACCACAACAATTTTTTTTTTTCCCAATTTGTGGTCAGTGCAGTTGCGAACTGCTTGGCAGAATGAAGCCACTTTACAGCACATCGTAATCAAAATTTGCCTGGAATCAGAAGTGCACTGCCATTGCTTTAAAAGACTACTACAGGCATTTCTATTATAAGGCCTATTGCTAAGCTGTAGTGCTCTCAGCTGTGCTTGCTGCTGTAGCAATACCCTGTGTCAAGCCACTCTGAGAGAAATTAGGATTTTATCTACTGCTGCTCCTCATTTTCTTGACAGCTCAGCAGAATTTCCCTTTCTGTAATGCAGTTTTCATTGTAGCACAAAAAATCCACTGCCTCAAAGGACAACTTGCTTCCTTTCATCTTAACATAAATTGTTTCTCAAAGCAATTTCCAAACATGAAGAAAACAGCACAATGCAGCCCTGAGGACAGCAAATATCATCGTACACCCCGGTGAAACGTGGCACAGAAAATGCGAGTGTTTTGCAGTCGGCAAGTGTGGTGCTGGACTCAGTCACAGGGTCGTGCTACGGGAGACTCAGACTTGTTACTTCCCTGCAAAAGAAGAGGAAAATATGGGGTTGGGAGAGAATGTACAGCTGGCGATATATAACAGAGTTAATGGGACTATCTCATGGCCTACCCAAATGTCTTCGTGAGGTTTGTCTGGTTTTATTTATATCATGATAAGTTTTTGTACATTAACACAGGTCAATATGTATCATATATATTAAAAGTAATACAATCATCTTCAATACATAATAGATATAAAGTCCAGAATGAGCTTTATTGGATGATTCAAGCCAAATAGAGGGGAAAATTGGAGTTTTAAGAGTGTGAAAAGATCTGGAATCTGAGGGTGTGAGGCAGTTTGATAAGATTATGAAAGAATATTAATTTTAGTGAGATTCATAACTTGAGATATCTGAACAACGAGAATGGCTACAAAATATGATGGGAAGATGGGAAAAAAATGACATCTACAAAACCAGGTCCTTACACTCTTGAATAAACTTGAATGCCTCATAAATTCTGCTAGAATATTTCAAAAGCAAACAGACAACACGGTGGTTGAGAGAAGCAGTATCGTGACGCCCACAGCTCTTCTGTATTATTATCTGGGATGGCAGGGTTAGGGTAAAACGGTTGGGCTCGGTGATCTTAAAGGTCTTTTCCAACCTAAACGATTCTATGATTCTAATTCCACTCAGATGAACTCCCCAAAGAAAAAAGGATTTGTGAGTTAATGTTCTTCCTCCTACCTGGGAGTCTGATGACACCTAACAAGTTTCTGAAAACAGGGATTTTTGTATTTTCCGGTACCTTGGCTGCTCACAGGAGCAGGCACGGACAGAGGGGAGGGACAGACAGCACAACACCCCCCGCCGTGGTTTCCTCGCTGGCCGCTTGCCCGGCTCCATTCAGCGTTGTTTGCAGCTCTTAAGAAAAGTTTCTCAGTATCAGAGCCCGGGTGGGTTTTTTTTCATGAAAGGCAAAAATGAGGTTTTAGAGGAATTATTTATAACTCTCAACTTCCTCAAGAGCCCTGGGAAGTGCCACCTTCGACGCTGTGTTTGCTGCGGTGAGCGGCGGGGCTGCTGTGAGGTCGATAGGCTTCTCTCGGTTCACCGGGCTGTGTTATGAAGCAGCTGCTAATACAAACTCCTCAGGCACGGTTTTAATTCAGATGACAAAGGTAGCATCAAATACGGTCCTGCTTGGGACCTTAAAGCCTTATTTTAATAGATTTCCACTGATGAAAACGCTTCTGAGTATTTACGGCAACTGACGATCCCGCGTCTCTTCTAGCCAGAGGAAGGGTGGGAGGTCTCGCTGCACGCAAGGTTGGGTCTTGATGACACTTGGCCCCCAGAGTTCCTCACCAGCCCATGGCAGCCTTTCCCTCCAGCTGAGGGATCAGCTGGTTTTAATTTTTCAAGGAAATGTCAACATTTCCAGGTGGGGTATTTTACAAAGAAAAAAAAAAATAAAAGGACTTCCAGCAAGGAAGCTTCATCTTGTATCTGTATCAAATCAGTGCCATTTCATTGGCATTTGTTCTGGTTTCGGCTGGGATAGAGTTAATTTTCTTGATAGTAGCAATTCTGGGGCTATGGTTTGGATTTAGTGTGAGAATAATGTTGGTAACACACTGATGTTTTAGTTGTTGCCAAGCAGTGTTTATACTAAATCAAGGACTTTTCAGCTTCCCCTGCTCTGCCAGGTGCACAAGAACCTGGGAGGGGGCACAGCCAGGACAGCTGACCCCCACTGGCCAAAGGGATATTCAAGATCATATGATATCATGCTCCCAGTATAGGAACTGGGGGGGAGTTGGCCAGGGGGCAGTGATCGCTGCTCGGGGACGGGCTGGGCATCGGTCAGCTGGTGGTGAGCAATTGCATTGTGCATCACTTGTTTTGTATATTCTTTTATTATTATTATTATTATTATTTTCCTCTGCTGTTTTATTAAACTGTCTTTATCTCAACCACAGGTTTTACTTTTTCCCGATTCTCTCCCCCATCCCACTGGAGAAGGAGGGAGGGATCAAACGGCCGTGCGGTGTTCGGCTTGCCTGCCGGGTTAAACCACAACGCTGTGTTAGGACAATGGAGCCATGGGGTGGCTGGCAGCGGGCACCCGGCTGGCCAGCATCGCCCTGAAGGAGAGTCCAGGTTTCTTTCCTTAAGTGCCAGATGAGTGGGTGAGAGCACTGAGCATCCACCACGCGCTCCGAGCCGATGCCAAGTCCTTCTGTCTGACTTGAAGAGCAAGAGAGAAGACGACTGCTGCAGGCTCTCGCACGCCTGTGAGCCCCTTGCACGCAGGCTGTAGTGCATATGCAGAGCAGTGCCTCTGTAGCAACCCCACTGAGCTCTGATTTTCCCCGTGTCACCAGAATAGGAAATCCTGGTGCCAGAGTCCTGCCCTGCGTGCTGTTGAGGAGTTTGTCCCTGGTTAGGTGGTGGTGTGCTCTGCAGCGCTTTGCCTCTTGTATGCGGATGTTCGGGATGAAAGGTGTTCCCTTCAGCCTCCCTGTTAACGGTTCTGCCTGTCTGGAGTCTCAGAAATAACTACTCAAGTGTTTGTAAATAACGGCAGCCCATTCTTCTTTAAAATCTTACTGTGCAAGGCGGAGGATGGGATCCAGCTGCTGTAGGCTCTGCTGCTGGGCTCCTCAGTGGGGTTTTGCTCCATGGGGGTTCCTATGGAAGATGGGCTGTGTCTGCGTTTGAGAGACGCTGCTAATGCTCCCCTCCCAGTAATGAAGCTTTTCTTTAACTCCCACATGAGACTCAGGAGTAGGGGCTGAGCATAGGGCTGACTCAGGCAACTCCGTGCTTTCCCTTGGGCTTTCTAGGTTTCATCCTGAACCAGTAGACTTCTGTTATCCATAGTCAGAAAAATTCCTGAAGTTTAATACGTGGATGTGCAACTCCTAATATGCTGTATAATACCGTCACGCTGAGCGTAAGAGTCTGCTTGCTCAGTCACTTGGAGCTTTTCAGTATGGAAGAACAGATCAGCAAAAACATTTGGGTTCCTGTCTGCTTCACCAGGCACCCGGTAAAATTCTCTAGTCACTATTGATAGGGTAGGAATTACATTGGGAGTACTTCGGGGTCAATCCCTCACACTTCCAGGCGGGCAGGATTCTTGCTGTCTAGGTCAGAGCTAAGTAAACGCCAAAATGTTGCCAGTAGGAAAAAGTGCTGAAATAGAAACGAGGGAAAGGTTCCAGGCTCTTGTGCATTGCTAACGCACTAGCGTAACTCTCTCGCTGGGTAACATCCAATGGGATTTTTTAAATTACAAATGTAATTAATTTTTAAATTCTTAACAGAGAAATTCTGGAGTTTGAGGGTGGACTCATTTCCCAGGAGAAACGCTGCTTTTTATGTCAGAAGATAGAAGGTCTGCCAGATGTTTCCACATTTATTGAAACATGAAAGAAAAATGAATTTAAGAACTGCAAAGGGTTTTTTTTTTTTTGCCAAAAAAAATGTCTTTCAGCTAGTTGCGGTCTTAACTGGAAGGTGTTGTGCACAGCTGAGTGCTAGCGTAGGCGAAGGGAGATGCTGATCCTGGCCGGGTTGTCTGTGAGAAAGGGAAGTGCGAGAGCCGCCGGGGCCGGGCAAACGGTGGCCCTTCCTTAGCCACGGCCGTGCCTTGGCATCCAGATGTTGGATGTGGCCTTAAGGGAGAGGGAGAGAGCAGCACTGGAGTCCTTTGCAGTGTGTATCTGGTTTCGCCATGACTAGATTTACCCATCCGGGAATGGTGAAATGACTGACTTTTGCAAACGACTGAGTTTTTCAGATTGCCAGAAGATGACTTCTTCTAAGGGAATAGATTTCCCTGGCTCATGTTTACTTAGACTTTTCCCTGAAGGATAGGAGGGAGAACATTTATGCAAGTTAGTTCATACAAATCAACAGCTGTTATAGCAATTTTTTTCCTCGGAGATTTGAAGTGTGAATTATAAAAACTGGAAAGCAAATATGGCAATCAAGGCCATCTGGGACAAGAATATTTTTATATGTAAGATTTTCTTTGTAGAGTCATGACAATAAGACCTCTGATTTTCTAACCTAAGAAAACCAGTGAAGAAATACCTCTTTTTCTAATCGTTGTAATAAGGTTTATGCTGTTGTTATTTCCTTATTGTTTATAACATTTTAATTATTTATTGTTTCACCATTACAGGGACA